GCTGTTTGTTTGTAATTAAGCACAAAGCTACACGCTGGGCTATCTGTGCTCTGCCCACCACGGGTTTCGAAACCCGGTTTCTAGCGTTGGACGTCCGCAGACATTCCGCTGTGCCACTGGGGGGTCAACTTTTGCTACCTGGATGTTTCAGAAAATAAAACCATTGTTCAAACATCTTAGATAATCGTCCTTTTCTGTAGCACAATGTTTTAAAAAAAATAATTAAAATTACCCACGACATTATCTTTATGGTTTGTCTTAATTTTCTTTTAAAAATCAACTCAGTAGTTTATTCATTACCTAAAGCGAGTAAGATGAGACGTAAAACAATACACAAACCTATGTTGTTTTAAGAGGTTTTCTATCCCATGTTATTAATATAATTTGTTTTCGAAATTTTTATTGTTGTTCGGTCGGAAGAAAATTTGACGTAACGTGATGGGCGTGGCTTTAATATCTGGAACTTTTTCCGAAGTTTAGGATACAATTTGAGCAATATATATAAAAGCGCATTACGCCATATATAGTAAATTAACAAGTCTGTCAGTTAGTTAATGAGTAATCAGTGCATTATTTAGTCAATAACTTCGGCAATTCAACACTGTTAAGTATTGAGCTTGTGTTTGGATGAAGAAATAGAGATACGAAATTAGCAATAAGTGGAATTTCTGTTACGCGTAATTTATTTATAAAGTAAGACCTACCGGTGAAATGTAAAAATTTTAAGTTAAAAAATAAAACGTTTTTCTGTTTGATGTTGTTATGATTTAGTTTACCAATTTTTTTTTTCATCAAATACTCCAAAAGAGGCCAGTCAACAACAAATACCATTACAACATTTCTTTCACTAATTGAGTTCGTAACACCGCGTTTTCTCTACGTGGACCAATAAATAGGGTGTATCTTACCTCTCTTCACCCTCAGCATTAAATCTTCGGTTTTCCTTGAACCAGGTGAACGTCAGAGGTTTGTCTCCGCCACCTTCACACTCAAGAGTTGTAGGTTTTCGAGCCACTGTTGTCTTGGATGTAAGTTTTGTTTCAAAGTGGGCGGGAACTATGATAAAACAGGGTTTATTTTGCATACATACATTTTAAACGTGGCCATTCTAAATTTAAAAAGTATATTCTTTAAAGTGATCTTCAATTGGACCGTCAGTTTTCATCTAATGTAACCGTATTTATTTAACATGTTTCAAGTTGTTAACCAACTTGTGGTTAAGTACAGCCCAAATAATACTCATATGTGATGTTGCTGGTTTTGATCCAAGACATGACTCTCAAACTCTTCGTTTTTTTACTACTGGACTTGACTTAAATTTAACTTGTATTATTTATTCAAATTCAACAGTAACTGTAGTCATGTTTTGGAAACTTTATGTTAAGTGTGTTCTTGTTAGATAGCTACCAAAGGTTTCTTTAAGTTTCCCATGATGCATCATCCTTTGCATAATGGTTTAGATTTTCATCCTTTCCCACCTATAGACTAGGTATAAAATTAGTCATGCTCTTTAATAGATTAAGTAATTGGTCTTTGTCACGTATGTCGTAGTTACAGATGTAAATGAACAATAATAGCTGCACTTTTATCATAATTTATATGAACTGTATGGAAGAACGTATTATGTTGGCACAAAAAATATCTGCCACACCTTAAACTCGTGTCAATCTATCTCCACGTCTGAATTATGGATGTTATCGAGTATGTCCAATCTTTCACATCGAGGTTTTGTTTGAACATGAATCTTACCATGAACGTCCAGCTGGACCACAGTACTGATGGGTGAACCCACACTATTACTGGCCTCACACATAAATCTTCCTCCGTCGTCTTCTTGTACGTTCCTGATGACCAAAGACCCATTTACTAAAACCTGGACACGAGCTCCACTAATCACTGTGTTGAACTTTGAGGAAGTGTCATCTAATGTAAAAAACATAATATTTTACTCTACTGACAAAAAATAATAATATTTTCAACAATCACCTAAAGTGAAATCTACTAACAAAAAAATTCCTTATTGTGCGAAGTGTTATCCAATAGCAGATGACGATTAATCCCTGCGTATATCTACCAAATTCTAATAATAATAACGAATATGCATATTTTGATATGTATGTAAAAGTGGTTTGTATGCCCTGAAACCTAAATTCTGTAAACATAGCCTTTCAACATGTAAAGAGACACCTTGAAAATACAAATTGGTCATCTTCATAGGGTCATTTTCAAATAATAAGAATGTATAAATGTGAATATAGCTTGGTAAAAACCTCAGAAAACAAACACCCGTTGTACAACGAAATGATCCCGGAAATGAAATATATTTTTACGTGGTCGAATAGATGGACAGTTGAAGGGTGGAGAAAGTCAGCAAGTATCTTACAGGTTACTTGTAATATCACTGTCCTCACTAATAAGGCAATAATACAGTTCCAGTCATATCAGAAAACAATAATTCCCGCACGATCCGGGCACCCAAACTCAATAGAATGGACTCTTCGTGCTGTATGGAAAAACTTGGAGAATAATCCATGTCAACTGGCCACTTATGTTGTAAGATAGGTTCAAGTGTGCTCTAATATCATCAGAAATTAGTTTCATAGTATGGGCTACAATGGTAGAGTAGGTAGATGGAAGCCACTCCTCATTCCAGACAATACTGTACGTCGACAGCAGTGGGCATCACAGATGGCTCTCACACCCACCTGACTTCTGGGACGCTAATATTTTCGCTGAAGGTAGATTTTTACAATTCTCAGATAACGGATGTACCTTGTTTTAGTGATTATCTTCCCAGGAAGTTTAGTTGAACCATCTGGAAGCCAAGGAAAAAATGCGACTGTATTATCTTTATGGTTTGAGGTCCCAGTTAGCCATCTGGACGGACAATCACGACTGATTGAATGTGAAAGGATGGTATGCTGTTTGATACATTATACTTCTCGAGCAAGGTCTTCTACCTGTCTACGCCAAGAAGCAACATACCAGACAAGGCATTATTTTCATGCAAGATGGGAATCTTGCTCATTCAACCGGAGTCACAAAATGATTGCTTGTAGGTCAGCACACTACTACTACTTGTAGTCCATCCTTGGTTGTACCATAAAAAAGCGTCCGAAACCACTAGCTTTTAAGGACACCCTCGTCCAAATTCTTTGGCAGGAGTTGGATGTAATCCCGCACGCCAAAATTTCTTTTAAATACAATGTGTGTGTTTCTACATTAAGTTCTTGTTTGTTTTATAAAACGGAATTTTTTAAGGTGTGGGCATCATTTTACTAATTGGTAGGCATTGTCTTCTAGAAGAAGGGAAAATATTGCGAAACCTTTAATTTGAATAGCTAATAATTATTATATAACTAAATTTCTAAGTAGAAATCGTTCATACTGTAAGCTGTGAAAATAACACCCAAGAAAGAAAGAAAACAAACTATGAAACATTTTAACAGATAAATTACTTAAAATTATGTTGGTTGCAAAACAGTTAAATAAGCTACAGCTCTAAAGATTTTTGAGGAACCATTTTAAAACGGCTCATCTTACTTACCGTTTGATTTTTTCCATACAACACGTGGTTCTGGTCTTCCAAAAGCTTGACAATCTAGAACTGCATCACTTCCAGTGATGGCCGAAGTATCACGAGGTTCAGTTTTCCATCTCGATGGAGCTGTGTTAACAAGTTAAATAAATTTTTGGTAAATACGTTCAAAACACGACAATACAGAAAATTGTTTGAACATCAATGGAAACAAATAATTACATAAGGAACATATATATTTCTAAACTCACAAATACTTTTCTAACAAATATGATAAAGTCTTTTAATTCATAATCTATTTAACTGCTTCATGAAGGCCCAACATGGCCAGATGGTTAAGGCGCTTAACTTGCAATCTTAAGATCGCGGGTTCGAATCCCCGTCTCACCAAAGATGGTTGGTAAAAGAATAACACAAGATTTGGCGGTAGGTGGGTAATCTTCACTCGGCTAGGAACGGCTAGCGCGAAATTCGAAACAAACCAAACCTATGCTGAATGTTACTCAGAAGTAAAACAGAAACAACGTTTCAATAAAAAATTTACATGATCTAAGATGTCATGGAATAAAAATTAATTACTTTTAATGCTATCAATATAAATTAAGAGTTACATGAAGAACAACTATGCTTCATAGTTCAAAATATATCACTGCAAAATGAACAAAATCCGAGTGATAAACCTAAGCTGCAGGAATGAAGAATTGCAGAGGTGTATGTAACAAGATACGTATTTCTATAGCACTATAGCTTAAAAATAGTTTTGGAAAAATAATATGTATCTTCATCACAGGTCGACTGGTGGTTTACGTTCTTGCATATTAGCCGATAATTTTTTGTTTTTTTTATTACGCATTGTGTTGAGTTATCCGGAACAAAAGAAACTATAAGGAAATAAATTGGAATTCACAACAGCTTATAATGTTATATCTGTATAAATTATATGAATTGTATAAATTATAAACCTATTTATTTTTTAAGAACGCCCCAATGGCTCAGCAGCAAGTCTGTTGGCTCATAACGCTAAACATCGTGTTTCGATACCTGTGGCACAGATGAACCACTGTATAGCTTTGTGCTTAACTACACACAATCAAACAAACGTTTAAATACTTCTTGCTGAAATTCGTAACAGATGAGGATTAAACTCAAAAGTGAGGACAGCATTTTATTCTTAAAACTGAGTACTTACAATTAACTGTTAAAGTAGCTGAAAGGTTAACTGAGGCTGCTGCGTTCGAGGCTACACACGTGTACAAGCCGCTGTGTTCAGATTGAAGAGTTTTTATAATCAATGTTGATATGAAATTATTGTTTGTATCTATGGTAACAGTATCGTCTTCAGTTTGAAGTAGTTCCCCGTCTTTCCACCAGGTTATCTGAATGGGCGGGTCACCTTCTTGGACGCTGCACATGACACTGGCTCTGATGCCCTCTCGTGGTTCAGGAGGAAAGGCGAAAGGAGAGATCACAGGTGGAACTAAATATAAATAAGATTTAAAATAACAGAATCTCCCATTAAAACCGCTCTTGCTTTGTAGTGCAGTATGTATAAATGACATGCTACATGTTTGATTGTCATAGTTAAAGTTTAAATACCTTAATTGAATAGAGTTTTTTAAACATTTATTTAACAACAAGTAAAAGCTTGGAATGGTCTTTTCTTTCATTGGGTGTGTGTCTGTGAGCCAGAATAGTTCCGGAGAATTCCACTTCTCATCAGTGACCCTGGACACTACCACCAATGAAACTTCAGACCCAACCAAGCCTTTATAGTTGTGAGGTATCGAAAATCGAAATGGTGTAAATACACCATTTCGAAATACCTTAATCTTTTGTTTTCTAAATCAGATATAAAACGTTAAGAGGACATAAATTTATGAAAAAGAAAATGCTTGACAAAAATAATATATATATATATATATATCTTTGTCCTTTTGACACAATTAAACATAATTTATTATTAAATATTGACATAATTAAACATAATTTATTATTATTAGCTTTGATCATTACATTGATACAGAATTATTCTTATAGTCTATCGTAAACGACAATCAATATCAATAAAGCTACAACTTCTAATTAAAGTAAATAAATGCATATCAGGGCATGTTCAAAATATCTTGTTATTTGTGATTTTATCACTTTAAGAAAGTTCACAGAGAGGGTTTTAAGTAGCACTGGGTCGTAAGTTCCCTTCCTTACTCAGTACCTGAAACTTTGATACTGACGTCCCGATGAGCAAGCCGACCCTCTGTGTCTTGTGCAACACATCGATAAACTCCTTCATCTTCAAATCGTCCTACTTTGCGTATGATAAGAGTTCCATTGGAAAAAATAATGTGGCGACGTCCTAAAGGAAGCCGTTTATTTCCTAGAAAGAATATAAACATAAACATGTAAAGAGCGGTCATAAAGTGTGTCGTTATACTTTATGACAATCATTCGCACTAAGATGAGTGATGAAGATATTTACGTATAGTCATGACCAAATGATATATGAGGTTAATCATATAGTCATTTATGTGCTATAACAGTAAAAATGTTTTTATTTTTTAAGTCAGTAAACAAATATATACTGTACACATAACTGCACAAAAAGAAACTTTAAAGAAAAGTGTTTTTTCCCTTGAAATATCTGAAAATTGTAAAGTATTTATATAATTGATACTTGAAACCGTCGGTACTTGGTGAAACTACATAACTACAGAATTGAGGAAAAAGAAGACAATTGTTCATTTCACAAATACATAATTTATTACGACCACGGTTTCGCCATCACCTGATGATGGATGCCTTTACTGGCGAAACCATGGTCGTAATAAATTATGTATTTGTGAAATGAACAATTGTCTTGTTTTCCTCAATTCTGTAAAGTATTCATTTAACAGCATTTATAGTTCAGATGAACATGCTTCACTGTATTAACTCCAACAGTAAGAAAACATATATTGTTTATCTAGAGAACACAATGTGATCCACACCATTAATATGAATAGTTTTAAGGTATCGTATCAACAAATAAACATTATAGTAGAGTTTTCATTAGATCATATCTATAGCGTGGACGACACATTATAAGAACAATGGGCTAAACAGCCACATTCAGAAACATCTTAGGTCCAGTTATAGCCTATCGACAAGGGAAAAGGCGGATGATAAGCAGTACGCGTTACACAAGAATTTTGTGTGGCTTTCAAGCCTCAAAATGGGATTAACTGTCACTGTTATGCCCGGCATGGCCAGGTGGTTAAGGCACTCGACTCGCAATCTGAGGGTCGCGGGTTCGAATCCCTGTCGCACCAAACATACTCGCCCTTTCAGCCTTTGTTTATTTGTTTTTGAATTTCGCGCAAAGCTACACGAGGGCTATCTGCGCTAGCCGTTCCTAATTTAGCAGTGTAAGACTAGAGGGAAGGCAGCTAGTCATCACCATCCACCGCCAACTCTTGGGCTACTCTTTTACCAACGAATAGTGGGATTGATCGTCACATTATAACGCCCCCACAAAAAATCTTCTGAAGCGTAAATTGCGGTAATGGAATGGAGTGTTTAAATACATGATTTTGTGCCTTTTATCTTTTATTATTGACCTGTATGTAAATATATTATATCAGAAAGCTGCCACTCTACTTATTATTTCAGCTAGTGATGATGCAAACATTTGTATCTTCAATGTAAACAAAAGCTGTATTGTGGCTTCTTTTGTTTTAAACTGTTGTTCATTTTATCCAGAAGAGAATAACTTACCAAAGATGCTCATTATTATCTGGGCTCGGGCGTGGCCCAGTGGTTTGCGCTAAGTACTTTCAGTTAAGTGTGTTTTATAACAGTGACGTTTGTTTACCGTGCATTGTTTGTTTTCATGTCAACTGCCCACGGCCTTATCCAGTCACATAAAGGCCCTCTTTTCACAGGAAAAATAGTTACAGCAGAACACTGTATAGTTATAAAATTGTATTTTGAGTATAAGTGAATTGGACAATTCCATCATTTGGAATTTAAAATTAAGGTATAAAGTGGACCCCTTTTAATCCTTTTAAGCGGGGGCTGTATATACGGAACAGGAACTTTGTACACGCCAATTTTTAAATAATACATAATGTAGAGTGCAATTAAAAACTGATTGGGGCCCTTTTGTTAACTGATTTATAGTCCCTTTACTGACTGATTAGGGGCATTTTTGTTGAATGATTTGGAGCCATGTTTTTGACTGATTGAAGTTGCTTTCCTACTGATGACGTTTCGTTTGCTTTCAATCTTACAATTTTTAGGAGAAACGAGGAGGCAATTGCTTCCTTTACCTCAGCTACGCCCTCTAATAATATTAAATTACTACCTCTAATGAATACACAGCTGAAAACATTGAAGTCCAACATAGAAGTTTAATCCTCAATGTAACGGTGATGTAACAGATTCGTTTTACCTTTTTCCCAGTATACTTGCTGAACTGGATATCCACTGACTAGACAATGTACAACTGTATCTCGTCCTCCGATAACTGTCCTGTTCCTCATCGGACGGATAATCGGACGACCAAATACATTCAGGGAAGCCACATGACTTGTCACCCCGTTAGTATTGGTCGCTGAACAACGGTAGATCCCACCATCAACAACTTCTATTCGGGTAATGTTAACAAAACTTATCACAGCGCCCTCTTTGTTAACATAATCTCCAGTACGAATTCTGTTATTATCAGGCACTGGCTCATCGTATGAGGTCCACGTGATCTGAGGTAAAGGGTTTCCAACAGCTGCACACTTGAGGGACACTCTGGAACCAGGTTTTACTGTCATTTCGTCAAAGGTGCTAATTAAAACAGGAGGTTTCGCTGCCAAATGACACGCAAAGTGGTTGTGTTAACATGTGAACAATATCTTAAGAAAAACAAAACCATTTTGAACTAAAATGTTCAAATGAATATGATAAATAAATTAGATATACAGTATAGAAAGGAAAACAGAACTAATGAACACATTGTATGTAATTTGCATAACTGAAGTGTTGTTTTCTACAGTACTTAGCCTTTTTTTATCTCTAGTATCTGTAAATTACATTCTAAAATTCCTGAAAGAAAGCTTTTTATGTAAGGAATGTCTTTACTAGTAGAATTTATAAAGGTCAACTTACAGGCTTAAGTCTTATACACTCCCACATATATTTTATTTATATAGATTTGAGATTTCTTGATCTAATATTTCGAAGTTCATTTTAACCTGAAAATTACGAAAATATGCATTACAAATATACGCGTGTATTAATGTATAACACTTACAAACAACTATCAACTCTGCCGTGTCCTGAACAGTTTCGTGGTTATTTTGAATAAAACATTGGTACATCCCCCCGTCTTCTTGTTGGGTTGGGTTAATGTGTATAACGTTTTGCCTCGGGAATGAAATTCTTCTGTTGGCCAAGAGAGGGCGATGGTCTTTGAACCACATCACGAGCTCTATCGGGAAACCACTCATGGAACAATTCATTGTGATTGAGACACCAACGTTGACCTTCTGAATCTTTGGCATGGCAGTAACCTTCAAGGGCTCTGTAATTTAAGACGTAACGATTTGTATTTTAGTTAACACTGCGTAAAGAAGTAATGAGATATGAAAGTGAACTTCAAACGCTTTGAAAATTAAGGCATATTGTAATTAATACTGTGTAAAGCAGATGGCGCTCGTTTCCGTCTTCAAGTTGTTGTTTTTTATTTAATTGGTTTCTGCCACTATCAAGGTGGCGTATGACATTTAAACATTTATTATTAACTTAATGCTACTATCAAGATACTACATGGCAGTTTAGTCGTTAAGATAATACAAAACTATCGTTTCGGATAGATAATGCTATTATCAAGACAGTACGTGGCAGTTGAATAGGCAAATTAAAATTACTAACTTGGATAGTTGATACCACTAACAAGGTGGCATATCCATGCGCGTGGGAGAGGAGGGGGTGTGGCAGGTGCAATCGCACCCCTTTAATTACATTCATATATATTTAAAACATATTAAAAGCATTCTGAAATAACGCCAAAATGCACAATTTTCAGTGAAAAAAATCACAAATTGCTTCTAGGGAAGCATGCCCCCGGCCCCCATAGCATGGCTTCGCCACTCATTTCCTTTTTCTTTAAAAAGTAGCCCCCCCTCTCCGACCACTTTATAGATTTCTGTCTACGACCTTAGTATGACAATTTAGTGAGCAGGTTAAAACAAAATATCGAATCAATTAATATCATTATCAAGGTAACATATGACAATTTAGTCAGCAGGTTAAAACAAAACTATCGAATCAATTAGTATCATTATCAAGGTAACACATGACAATTTAGTCAGCAGGTTAAAACAAAAACTATCGACATTTTATTAATGGAATAATACAATGTTTTCTCCTCAATCTTTCTTGTTGTGTACTGATCATCTTTCCTTAAATCGAAGTCCAGAATATAGAATTAATTATATCGTATATAAAGAATTCGAGATTAGGATTTTTTATTTATTTTTTGGCACAACTGTAATGCTTTGTAGTTAGTTTGATGTTTTTCTAATCTGAGTATCAAGTTGTCAATACATTTTCAAATGATATTTATAAATACCTATTACTGTCAACTTCGCCTCAAGTCGCTCTTCGCCGGCCTCATTACTTGCAATACAAACATATGTTCCAGAGTCTTTGACGTTGGCATAATGCAGTACCAGAGTACAGTCTATCTGCTCTATTGGTTTTCGTAATATGGTTGTCATCCTGCCATTCACCAGCTGATACCAGGAATAACGTGGGTTTGGATAGCCCTTGGCTAAGCAGGGGAGGTAGACAGTGTTACCTTCACTGATAATAATGACCTTGTTGAAGTGAACAAATTTTGGTCGAAAGTGGCTGTATGGCTCTGAAAGAGAATTCAAAATTACACAAGTACGTAAAAAAAGATAATAAAATAATTTTTTTTGGCATAAAATTTATGATTTAATAATTGTGTTAATGAAAAGCATATTTCGTTTGTAAGTAATTTCTTTGTCCTTCAAAATCTTCCAAAATAGAGCTACAAAATATGACATTTTTGTTTAAGTAATAGAGTGTTACATAAGATTTAGCAGGGATAATGTGCTACGGGGGCACCTTAGATGCTTATGCATTATCGGTGACTCTCGGGCAGATTTACCTGATGGCGCCTATCCCCCTTCTTTGGTAGCCGTTCTTAATTTAGCAGTGAAAGGCTAAAAGGAAGACACCTAGACACTTGGGTTATTCTTTTACTAACGGATAGTAGGATTGACCGTCACATTATAACGGCCCCACGGCTAAAAAGGCGAGCATGTTCGGTGACGAGGATTCTAATCCGCGACCGACAGATTAGAGTCGAGCGCCCTAACCACTAGGTCATCATTTAAACTACTCCTTCGTTAACTTCCTTTATTTTAAAAGAATTACATTATTTTTTTACTGCAACACTATAAGGAATTCAATATTAAACTGGATGAAGTCCAAACATTTATACTGCTCTGTCTCTAAAGAGGACATCAATTATCTTAATGGGTTTCGTGCCAAGGAAACTTTATTAAGTGCAGAGATATGCGAAGAATGCACACCATTAGAAATGTATACCTAAGTAAATTCTCATCTTTCTGAATTTCCGAGATGTGTTTCTATTCCGACACCCAGTTAAGTGGAATGAGTTTCGTTACTGAGTTTCTACTCCGAGTTCACACTATCAGCTATAAACAAACTCAAGTATTTTCCTACAGTTAAGTTTGTTTATTTAACAATTAAGTGATTAATATACTGACAATGATACCGAAATACGTAGTTTTTAAAATACCCCACTTCTCAATTGCTCAAAAATAACAAGCCTCACATATACTTAGGTTTTTACGTCGCTTTATGTGTAATTGTGTGCACAAATAATTTTATGCAAATGAAGCAAATTTCAGACATATATTTTGTGTCGAAATATGTTCTGGAACATTGTTGTCGTTGCCATAGAATGTTCTTAAGTGTATAATGTGCTTTCTAGCAATACGAAGTAATGTAAATTATGTAAAATGAGCTATACATGTTTAAAATATTCAAGTTTTTAAAATTTTGTAATTTTCACTGTAATATTTTTCATTTATGGATGACGTATTTTCTTTAAAAAATTATAAGTATTCTTTGACATAATTCAGTATTCTAGGAATAACCTTGTCAAGGTTAAATCAAATGTCCTTATAGCCCTAAGTCATTTGCTGCGAGAAATGTTAAGTTATATTTTCTGACCACAAACGTTCCGATTGACGAAATATTGGGCAGCGCACAGATAGCCTATTGTGTAGCTTTATGCTTTATAACAAAAAGACAGCAATATTTATGAAAGCTAACCTAATTGAAAGTTAAAACAGTAATTTTATTTTTTTATTTTCTGTTTATATTGTTGTGGTATGCGGACATACCATATGTTGGATTAAGGACGATTTTTAAAAAAAATATTCATGTTTATGTGCTGTTTTCACAAACACGTCGTCAAGAAAGTCGTTAAGTTGTTTTTGTTCTTGTTCATCCTTTTGAAAATTAAGCCTGGTCTGCCCATAGAAGTGTGGTTGTAAAACTGCTTGCTCGTGAATGCAGAGAGCAATGTCTTCCAGTTGTAAGTTAGGTGCTGCCTCCATGTTATAACCTCCCTTACGTTTGAATGGGAACAAGTCACGTGGTAGCGCTAATCATTCTAAGTAAGTGTGACATTACCATTTCAACTATGAAACATGAGATTTAATCAGTCTGGAACAACATCCTGAGCGAGTCAGTTAGCTTGAACATAAGTCATGAAAGGATATAACTAGACTAATCCATCCACATTTCTAGTAAAGAGACTGTCCAACGTCTAAAAAAAGGCACGCTACACACACTGTTACTTTGTGTTGTGAAAATAAACATTGTTTCATTGTGTATTACACATCGTGTCCAGTCTATTTATTTCTTTATGCAAACTCAGTCAGTTCAGGAAAATTCAGTATTATCTTGACGTGCACATCCAGTTGTATAGCAAACCTACCTCTTTTACTCTTTTGGGAAGTTGGATTTAACTGAAAATACCAAGAGTAGGTTGAAGGGGAAAAGTTTGATGTCTTGACCACAGGATATTATTATGAAGTTTTATAGTTTCTAGCAATCTGCTAATTTATATTACTCCTACTCTTGCGTTACCGAGTTTAAAAAAAGACTTAATTCTTGATTACATGGCATTTTCCATGAGTTGATAGACTTACAACCAAGAGGAAGAGTCAGTCACCGAAGAAAGGTGGTTGTCCTGAAGAGTTGTTTGGTCTAGGAGAATACCTCTCTTAGACATTAAACGTTGCTGATGCTAAAGAGATACACGATTTTTTTTTATTCCTGCCACAAAGTCAGGAAAGGTAGCCGGAATATGTTGTACACAGAATAGCTGATTGAGTTCTCCTCCTAAGGACTGATTTAAGTGCAAGAGAAGCATAAAGGACTAAGGGTCATTGAAATGATGTAGTGTCTGGAGAATCTGAGACCGGACGGAGTGATCTTGACATGACACCCAGGCCTTCACCAGTTCAAGCAATTTAACCTCATCTCTAACCAAAGTCATCTGACACTAGCTGAAAGAAACTGGAGATGTCATTGATGAATTAAGTCCACTAGCAGAAGAAATTTCATTGATAGGTAAGATGAAGAGGAGGTATTCTGCCACTGTGAATATGGATCACAGAAAAGCCTGGGTGAGGAACTGACTACCAAGGGTCAGATTCTTGACTATGCCTAATTTTTAGGATGTCTCGGCCCGATATTGGTCAAGAGTCCATGGGGAAAAGACTTATGATGTCCTCACAGTTCCCTGTGAGTGAGGCTAAGTAGATTTCTTTACGAATGTGGAAGGGTATGACCAAGAAAGGCCTGTACAACTTCCTTACACACTTTGGAGAGAGCACAGTTCGGAATGGGTGGATACAGAAACAGGCAGTACAATGCCTGATGCTGAATCTGTATGGTTCATTGCTTGACTCAATCAAGTGCTTGGATAAGGAGGAAAGAGTTGAGAGTATTGACCTGGCTTTTATATCAAGTCAGGTGAGGAAGCATAGGATTTAGAGGCAAAAGGCAGCTGAACAGTAAGCAGAGCCTCCTGACTGATACAGTTGGGATTAACTGACTACCAGCGGGATGGTAATGTGGCTTAAAAATGAATGACTCAAAGGTTTGTTTGTTTGTTTGTTTG